TTCAAAGGCATCAAGTACTTGCGGCTAAACACGTTAGCATCCTTAGGCTATGCAGTGGTGGTGATTGATGGACGGGGTTCCTGCCAGCGAGGACTCAAATTTGAAGGAGCCCTGAAAAACCAGATGGTAACGTACTTCGAATCTCTGCTCATTTACCCTTTCTGAAGCTACTTGACTTTACAATTGCCTGTATAATTCCAGCCTTTTCCTGTCTCTTAGGTTTTTATGTTTAGAAGAATAACTCCTTCAAAGGCATCAAGTACTTGCGGCTAAACACGTTAGCATCCTTAGGCTATGCAGTGGTGGTGATTGATGGAAGGGGTTCCTGCCAGCGAGGACTCAAATTTGAAGGAGCCCTGAAAAACCAGATGGTAACGTACTTCGAATCTCTGCTCATTTACCCTTTCCGAAGCTACTTGGCTCTACACTTGCCTGTGTAGTTCCAGCCTTTTCCTGTCTCTTATGTTTAGACAGTCACTGACTTGAGCTTCCTTGTTGCCTTTTAGGGTCAGGTGGAGATAGAGGACCAGGTGGAAGGTTTACATTATGTAGCAGAGAAATACGGGTTCATCGACTTGACTCGGGTGGCCATCCACGGCTGGTCCTATGGGGGCTTTCTCTCCCTCATGGGTCTTATCTGTAAACCCAATGTCTTCAAGGTAAGTCTGTGCTTGGGTTTCATCTTGGGAGAGACGTAGCTCCCCCTGCTCTATACCTGGGTGTTTGAAGTTGGCATCAGGAGTTTTAGGAACAGGCAGTACTTTCCCTGTAATATCCCTACAAATTGTGCTGGCTCTTTGGCAGGATGTGTTCCTTCTATCGGGAATGTGCTTAGCGCATCATGGATTTAAAAGAAAGAAATCTTATGGGTAGTAAAGGGTGAAGATTAAGTTGCATGACAGTGGGAGAAGAAAAATTATTATTTTGGGTTTTGTTTTGTTTTAGTTTTGGTCTGTTGTAAAACACCACCTAGCAATTCCTGCATTGTGCTGGAAGTTCCTTGGAAAAAAGTAGCCTTTAGTGCTGATACATAAGAATTTGCCTCATTCTGAATACAGGAGGAACAGCGTTAGGAAGGATCTAGGTGTTATATTGGGATCTGTTTTTAGAAGAATCCTGGTTTAAGCCATAGTACTTTTCCAGAGCCTTTTTTTTTTTTCCCCTGTCTCTTCAGGAGGACAGGGGACACTCGAACTCTTTAGCACTTGATAATTGAAGCTGTCTCCTGCCTCCTATCTCTTTGACAGATTGCTATAGCAGGTGCCCCTGTCACCGTTTGGATGGCATATGACACCGGCTATACCGAGCGGTACATGGACGTCCCAGAAAACAACCAGCAAGGCTATGAGGCCGGCTCCGTGGCGCTGCACGTGGAAAAGCTTCCCAATGAGTGAGTGTCCCCGGGGCTGGGCGACGGGCTGGAGACCTGCTCCCTGCTGCTGCTCGTGCTCCTGCCGAGCCCTGGGAGGGTGGGTGGTTCACGACCACGTTTAATTTTAACTCACGGGGCTAATTAGCTCCAACCTCTTTTGCCAGGGAGGGGTTGGAGACCATTTCTGTGGCCTCGTGCCCTGCCAAATGCTGCCTGTTCCCTGCTTGGTGGCGTGGTGACGGGCAGCTCTCTGCTTAGACCTACCACGGAGCTCTGCGTGCAGATTCTCATCCTATCTCCTATCCCCTCTGCAGGCCAAATCGCTTGCTCATCCTCCATGGCTTTTTGGATGAAAATGTGCACTTTTTTCACACCAACTTCCTGGTGTCACAGCTAATCCGGGCTGGAAAACCTTACCAGTTGCAGGTAAGGGGAAGCAGAGTGAGGTGGGGAGGTCCCTTAAAACTGGAAGGAAGCAGAAAAGGTTTTTGGCTGGCTGTCCTGGGAGATGGAGGTGGATGCGCTGCATCTTGTGGCACCACAGATGACAGTAAATGCTCTTGACTGCTTAGTCTGACCCCAAGAGGTGGCCAGGAGGTGGCACTGTGGCTGTTTTATTGCTGCCAAACGTGGCCTGTGGCTAAAAGCATTAGGCAAACAGGACTCCTGTCCTCGGGCCTGGAACTTTCCTTCTCCCCTGAACTGCCGCTGAGCGGCCTCGTGGCAGGAGGAGGGATGTGGGGAGCCCTCCCTGGCTCCCGTTTTCCTCTGCGGAGCCCAGGTGAGAGCTGGGGGGAATCCCAGAATGGCTGAGGTTGGAAGGGACCTCTAGGGATCTCCAGCAGGGAACGGGCTGCGCTCGGAGAGGTTCGAGAGGCTCCCGCTGAA